AGAACGTTGCTCTCATCACTGCATATCTGAAAGTTTCTTTCTATAGTCCTCTGTGCTTTCATAGCTAATGCATTTTCAATGTCTTGTAACTTTTGCTAAGGTTGACCTCCGTCTCGTTTTCCGTAAACTGCACCCCCCATTACTGTTCTCTCAAGGCCACCACTGTGTTCAACATGGCTGAAATACCCCAGTTTGTGGAACAGGATGCTGTTTATGAGCCAATTCTCGTCGATGTTTAGATCAAGCTGGATGTTGATGTTTTTCTTCTTCTTGGCCTTTAGTATTCTAAGAATTTGTCTGTGGCATTTCTTTTCAAAAGCTCTGACTCTTTTCTAAAAAGATTGGGTCCATGACTCACAACCATAATTTGCCATGGAAAAAAGGCATGATCTCAACATGTTTACTTAGTCTGCTTGTAGGTGATGTGCCACAGGGTCTTCATGTTGTTTAGCCACGACCGGCTCCAGATGACAGGCCATACTGCTGACATCACTGGGTCAGGCTAACGATACATTAACGCAGCGGTTCTCAAACAAGAAATAAATGTGGCGAGAGAAGACAGCTTACATTTGTAACTTTATGTATCTACATGCCTTCTTTAATAATTTTAAAATTTTTAGCCGACTTTTCTTGATTATTGTTGTCGCACCCCTGGCATATGATCATAGCACCCTGGGGTGCCTCAGCACCTAGTTTGAAAACCGCTGCGTTAACGCATCGTTAGTCCGACCCTCTGACATCAGCAGCACGGCCATCTCGTGGTTTAGCCATGAGACTGTCTTTACTTTATATACAATAACAACAAATTGTATCAATCGAGGAACAATATTTACAGTTAACTGTTTGTATAATTGCAGTTGTACAATCAAAATCAAGACAAGAAACAATTCTGGAGAATGACAGCAGCTAAAATTTGATGTGAAGATTGCAACTGATCTGTTAATGTATGTATCTTTTGATGTGAAGGTTGCAACTGATCTGATAATGTATGTATCTTTTGATAAAAGTTAAATCCATGACATTAAGGCCAAATTTTTAAACACGTGGTTAGCGGATTGGTGCTGGCCCACTGAGACCATTGGCCGTGGCAAAGAATTGATACATAGACATATAGCGGCAACATGATTTGGATACGACATTGATGCTTAGCTGTTATAAAACTGGTGGTCGCTTTTTCTTGATCTTCTGTTTGTGTGCACCAATGTTTTAGCCATGTCAGTAATAAAAACTAAATAGAGAAATGGAATGAATTTTATTGCAGTGCCTTGTCTCTCAAAAACAACGCTCCGGCCATGTATATCAGATTTTCTAGCCTCTAAGCAGCAGTAGCAGATGTAGCATTAGTTAAAAACTGTAATTTTATAAAACTTGATTTAATAAAAAAAAAAATTCATCTACAGTTGTTTTTGTTTCTGTTTTAGCCATCAGGGAAATTTTTCTCCAGTTTCCTGGTCTACGAGTGTAAACCCCCCCCCCCCCCAAAAAAAAACAGTTGACGAAGGAAATTGCAAACAATCCCCAGAATGTATTAACTGCTTGTGGTTTCAATAGACAATTTTATGTTCATTGGAAATCAAACATTTTTAAGTGTACCAAACTTTAACAGAAGTCTACATTTCATGTTAACTGGAAATCATACATTTTCAAGTGTACCAAACTTTAACAGAAGTCTAATTCTATGTTCATTGGAAATCATACATTTTTAAGTGTACCAAACTTTAACAAAGTCTACATTTTATGTTCATTGGAACTCATACATTTTTAAGTGTACCAAACTTTAACAGAAGTCTACATTTTAAACTGTTGACATTAAATCAGCTTTTCCTTTCCGTTTACCGGCAATGAATTCCGGGGTAAAGTCATGGTTTTTCGTCCATTTGGACTTTGGCTTTTTTCTAGGAAGTTGTTCCTTAAAGTAACAACAGTTTGGGTGAGGGGAGATCAAATATGTTTCAGGGGAGATACAATATGGATCAAGGGAGTTAAAATATTGGTCAGAGGAAATGAAATACTAAATCAACAGGCGGAAGAAATTAAAGTAATAGTTGGGACAGAGTGGGTTAATTAGTGTTCTTTGTCCATCACTAATGAAGTCTTACAATGCAGATGCCGTCTGTTCTAGTAGAACACTGTCTGTACAAACCTCACTCTCTTCCTCGCACTCATCCTTTCTAGCCCGAGCCAGACTTAATTCCAAATTCACACATGCTTTTTCATGTAACATTATTTCTTTTATCAACATTTGTCCATAAATGGTCTTCTGCATGTCTGATTTGTCCAAAATGTGTGTTCCTGTCATTTCCACTTTTGTAGCCAAAAAATCTGCCCGTGTGGAGTCAGAAGAGTCAGGTGACCCTTAATAGGCACTGTTAGGAAAGTCATACTTTTAATCAGGTTACTATGGCTACAACTAATGTGAGAATTTGCTGGCTACTAAAGAGGATGATGATGCACACATGGGAATTCCAGAGTGGATGTGTCAATTCTTCACTCTTTGAGTCCCAAGGAACGCATTATTCGTTCATAGGTTCCTACCAAGAAGCCCAATGAACGCATGTTGCGCGCCGATTTGATTACTTTCTTTACTACCCCCTGGGCTTGTGATGCTAAACCCTCTGGGACTCAAAGAGTTTATAGATGATTAAATTCAGCTGCCTGTGCTCTCCAATGCCTTCAAATAACACAATGAGTTATAAAAGTAAGTAATCGACCCTCTTCCCCGCCTTTAGGCGTATTAGGCATTTAGGGCTATACCTACATGTTTATAGACCAGTTGGCACTTGGTGGATGATGTGGTCAACACCACACCAGCCGCCTAACTTCCCAGAACTACACCTGGTACCCACTCAAGGAGGAGTTGACCTGGGAGCCAACGTTATTTTTTAAGAAAGCCTGGTTCCACCAGGACCTGAACCCACAATCTTCTAATCTGCAGGCAAGTGTCTAGCCACTACACCATGGCGACTCCCAACACAATGAGTAACAGTGTTTGAAATGTTAACTGTATTACATCTTAGTCTTATACCAGTAAAAAGGGTACTTGTGAAAACTAAAACACTGGAACACTTCCCATCCAGGACACAGTCCTAAAAACCAAATCAACCTCCTCACGGGAAAAGTACAGACCATTCAATTTAGACAGCACACTGGACACAACATACTCTGCAGCCGTATGTACAAGAAATTCAAAATTGGGGATTCAGAACTTTGCTAGTTGAGTTGATTCAAGAACCGACATCACAGCACTAGGGGCATTCCAATAAGCGTTCCGCCCCCATCTTCAGCAGCCAGTGAAGAGTTCCGATACTAATGGTGCCAGTAGCATTCTGATTAAACGTCTGTCTTGCCTTTCCTCTGAGTCTCGAGCATTTGCCAGAATTTCTTGTCACTCCCTACTGCATCAATCTCACCAGACTGTAGTGATCCATCTGCTCCCCCAAACTGGAAATGCTCTCCAACAAGGCACTAACCACATCTGCCTTATCATGCATTAGTATCCCACCAAGTTGTGCAGAACCAGCCAGTCTGTCCGTCTGTTCATTTCCCAACACACCAGCACCCCAAAATACTGAACATGTGCTATACACATGCTCTCTACATGCAACAGAGAGATCCCAGGTTGGGCTCGTTGGCATTACAATGGAAACCAATCTGTATGGAACAGTGGAAGACATCCACCAAACAATATACTTCTTTTAGGCAAGTGGCCTTCTCATCTGGAAACCAGTGGCAGGGAGGGAAAAGAAAGACATTTGAACACGACACCATCACAAAATACTGGCAGAAAAGGGACACCTCTAAAAAGTATCTAGCTACACACCCTCCAAATCTTGTACTCTCTATCTTATATAAATTCCACAATTGTCAAATTTAGTATATGACTTTATTTTTAACTCTGTGATGCATTGTAAAAGCAACGAACAAAAAAAAAAGACATCTAATTACATGCTTACAGAAGAGAAACCACTCCATCATTTGCACAATGACAGTCATGCAACAACCAGATTTACCATCTCAGACTGAGAAGGCCATTTACTCTTGGAAAAATACTCTCCAGAAATGTATTTAACAGTGGCAGGGCATCACTTTTACAAAACTGTAAACAATCCTAGTCTTCTCCTTCTTCTTCTCCTCTTCCTCTGGTTACCTCATCCAGGTGTCACGGGGAGATTATCTTCTGCGTACTATCTTTAATGTGTCATATTAGTTGATCTGAATTTATTTTAGGCTGTTGCATCTTTTAGGCTGCCTTCCCCCGGCTCTGTGTTCACTGTATGTCTTCAGCGTGGCTATCTGTAGCAGTTGAGAACTCTTCCACAGGATGTCATTTGCTTGATATTGAACATGCAGTTGACAAGGACAGTGCTTTCTGTGTTATTTACCACACACCTAACAAGTGAATGCGGAGACTGGCTGAAGCTTTAACTAAAAAATGAACACAACAGAAAGAGTTCATTGTATATTTGAATTTACTCTGGTAACCCATGTGACCATGGTAAACTCCCTGCAATTAAACAAACAGGATCTATTGATAGAGAATATGTTAGGTGTATTTCAGCAGAATAAATTCAGTTTCTGTGCTTCATTATACGCTGATGTAACTCTGTAGTATTTCACCTGATGTGATACAGCAAAATACGTCTGGAAATACACTGTGCAATGCATTATTTAAATGTTATCATTGCCAGTTGAGGTCTTTGAAAATTAAGCCATCATCAATTTATAAAACACAATACAAGCCCAATGGGTCAACAGGTGTACTGCCTGCTCAGCATGGGTTGTGCAGCCAGAGTTTAAAAGCATGTAACCTCTCTCCTTTGCGGTTCAATTTTGAACAGACATGCAAGAACAAATGCAACAAGTTCACCAGAAAACATTTACAGTCCAGGCTTACTTACAGATATTACCATCATAATACAACACCAAAAGACACACAAAAATATAATTGCATGTACTCGTACACACAAACACTCATAACAATTATGCGGTAAAAGAATCAACTACTTTTTCCCTTCCACCATAATGATGTGATAGCCGAACTTTGTTTTCACTGGAGGGTCTGTATAGTTTGGTTTGTCTACTGTGCTGTTGGGCAGAGCAAAAGCTGCATCTTGGAAAGGTCCCACCATGCTTCCACGTGTCATCCAACCAAGATCACCCTGTTTGAGAGTAAACATGAGAATGTCATCTAATAGAAACCAAAGAAGGATGTGTGTGCACGGTGGTCGGCTCATCATCAGAAATTCACAGCCCTAAAAACTATACTTGAAATGCTTTATCTGCCTTTACTTCCCAAAATATTTTCTAGTACTCTTTTACACTAGGTTAACCTGGATATTTAAAGGAAAAATACAGGACAAGGCACATTCTTTGGGAATGTCATTAGAAGGAGAAAACTGGAATAAGTTATGACAGGTAAAAAAAATAATGGGACAGTCAGCTAGAGAGTCATCAAGTAAAGGATCAATACTGGAAGAGCTGACAGCATGGCATGGAAAAACATGTTGTAATCCATGATGAGTGGCGTTGGTAGTCGCGTCCATCCACAACCTTTTGTCTCGTGTACTTTTAATTATTTCTGACACAGATCTACTAGAGTCCATGCTGTGTGGTGTTGACAGTCACGTCCATCTACAACCTTCTGTCTCATGTACTTTTAATTATTTCTGACACAGATCTACTAGAGTCCACGCTGCGTGGTGTTGACAGTCACATCTATCCCAAACCTTCTGTCTCGTGTACTTTTAATTATTTCTGACACAGATCTACTAAAGTCCATGCTGCGTGGTGTTGACAGTCACGTCTATCCCAAACCTTCTGTCTCATGTACTTTTAATTATTTCTGACACAGATCTACTAGAGTCCATGCTGTGTGGTGTTGACAGTCACGTCCATCTACAACCTTTTGTCTCGTGTACTTTTAATTATTTCTGACACAGATCTACTAGAGTCCATGCTGTGTGGTGTTGACAGTCATGTCTATCCCCAACCTTCTGTCTCGTGTACTTTTAATTATTTCTGACACAGATCTACTAGAGTCCATGCTGCGTGGTGTTGACAGTCACGTCCATCTACAACCTTCTGTCTCGTGTACTTTTAATTATTTCTGACACAGATCTACTAAAGTCCATGCTGCGTGGTGTTGACAGTCACGTCCATCTACAACCTTCTGTCTCGTGTACTTTTAATTATTTCTGACACAGATCTACTAGAGTCCATGCTGCGTGGTGTTGACAGCCACGTCCATCTACAACCTTCTGTCTCGTGTACTTTTAATTATTTCTGACACAGATCTACTAGAGTCCATGCTGCGTGGTGTTGACAGTCATGTCCATCTACAACCTTCTGCCTCGTGTACTTTTAATTATTTCTGACACAGATCTACTAGAGTCCATGCTGCGTGGTGTTGACAGTCACGTCCATCTACAACCTTTTGTCTCGTGTACTTTTAATTATTTCTGACACAGATCTACTAGAGTCCATGCTGCGTGGTGTTGACAGTCACGTCCATCTACAACCTTTTGTCTCGTGTACTTTTAATTATTTCTGACACAGATCTACTAGAGTCCATGCTGTGTGGTGTTGACAGTCACGTCCATCTACAACCTTTTGTCTCGTGTACTTTTAATTATTTCTGACACAGATCTACTAGAGTCCATGCTACGTGGTGTTGACAGTCATGTCTATCCCAAACCTGTCTCGTGTACTTTCAACTAGTTCTAACAAAGACCATCTTCCATAGCCAATGCTGTGTGGCACTGGTAGTCATGTCTATCCATAACCTTCTGTCTCATGCACTTTCCTTTAATTCTGACAAAGAAGATCTATCCACTACCTTCTGTCTTGTGTACTGTCAATAATTTATGTCAAAGAGGATCTCGTCCTTTGTTTGTTTATTGTGATCGATTTTGTAAAGCTTACATAAACTGTTTGTTTTTTCTTACCAACTTTTTCTCGTCCCTATAATTTTCTAACCCTTTAAAATGCCATGATGTCAAAATGTTCATTATTGTAAGGGGTCATTTTCTCCTTAATTGGTAGATTATCTCATTATTATAAATCATTTGTGTCGATTCAAATGGGTGGTATTAATTACTGAGCGTAATATATGTGTAAACAAATTGAGAGCTGCACACATATAAATGAACAGATATGATCAAAATAAGGAGAACAATTGAAGGCAAAATAAAAAAGTGTATCATAAATATCAAGGAACATAACAGATAACAAGATATCCAGAGAAAAGCTAACATTGTTCATTGAAAGTTCATCTTCATCAAATATTGGACAGGACATAAGTGTTTCGCCTCCTCCTGAGTATGTCTCCAAGGTGAAAAGCTAACATGAGATTGGCTACTTCAGTTGTTTAAAAAAAACTGTAGCAGCGCAATCCAATCAAACAGGAAAGTCCATGGAGAAAAAAAAGATGAAGTGATAGGAGCTGCAAGTGAGATCAAAGGATAGGGGATTTGGCATGAACTGAGGTCTGCACTAACTGCTGCTTCCACCGATGATAAACTGCAATTCTAGTAGTAGACTGTTTGTGTTGGCACTTCTGATGTCTGCCTGATTCATTTATGCATACGTATTGCGATGACTCTCTTTTATCTTCTATCTGGCTCGCATCATCGCATGCTGGCTATTTCACATACCGACATCACACGACGAGCAGAATATGGACGACTGGAAAAACAACACGATACTGTTCAGCACTTTAATCTTCTACTCGCGGCTTACACAGCCGGCACATGAAATAGACTACTGTCCAGGCACACATTATAACTCAAATATCAAAGGTATCTATTACCTTCAGTTCGAAATCACAATCATCCTACACTATCATAATGAACGACAACACAACAGCTGTCCTGACAGAAAAACTAACTCGGCCCGCTGACATCTTGCCTGCCAGCTTTTTTGCCAAGTTGGACTGGAACAAATTCACTCAACACATGTTGAATTCACACATCTTTCATCGTTGTCCATGCACTCTGTTCCTGGACCCAAATGAGACTGCCCCTCAGCCCTTTCTACGCTATTATATAGCCTTCTAATCCCTGCTTCGTTTTTCCCGAATTCTCCGTGATTCATCGTACTTCCCCTGAAGTTCGACAGTCAACGTTTCTATTCACGTGAATAATTATGCTTCACACAAAGTTTGACTATCAGCCTTTTTCTGTAACTCCCGTGAAGTTCAGACTCAACAATCCCTGTGCCGTCCCAGTTAGAGTCAAAATATTCCACTCACATTTATTACTGACGTCATCTGTCGGGCTTAAATTAACTGGGAGAAAATTAGATTCACTACACGTATGCTCTTAAATTTGCCAAGATGGCAGTCTACTTTCACAGAGGACAGTGATGGGCATTCTGCTTTTCATTTTCACAGGAATGAAGCAACTATACGGGTGACCCATTTGCCATGAAGTTGCAAATGCGATTAGAGGATTGGGGGTCAATATTTCTTTGAGAGACTGAAAAGTAACAGATGGGAGAAAGATTAACAGTCAATTATCATTTTATTCAACCTTAAAACTGCCAGAATACTCCAGAACCTGCCAATGTTAGTTAGTTATGAATCCTTCACAGAACCTTGCAGAACCAACCCCAGCATTTTTTTGGGGCTGCTTGGGTTTTTCTAGGCATAGGAATTTTATGTTGAGTATTATGCCATTAGCTGTGGGCAATGCGACTTGCGTTGGTTTCGACAGTGGTATGAGGGGGCTGACCGTCCAGAAAGAAATGGCAAACTACTCGAAGTAAATCTGCCTAGCGAAACCACACAATAGCCAGGGGCTGCTGGGGTTGGTTCTACAACGTTCTGTAAAGGATATGCAACTAACCTTTTTGTCGGATCTGTGGCTAAGTCGATGCCATCGCTTCGTAATGCTGGGTTCGATCCCAGCTGCGGGCCATGCGGCTTGCGTTGGTTTCGACAGTGGTATCAAGTAAGTTGATCGTCAAGAAAGCAATGGCAAACTACTGGACGTAAATTTATCTAGAAAAACCACACAACAGTCAGGGACTGTTAGGGTTGGTTCTGCAACGTCCTGTAAAGGATACGCAACTAACCTTTAGTCTGCCATTGCTTTCTGACTGGTCAGTGCTCAGTATCACTGTCGAAACCAACGCAATACAGATCATCCGCAGGTGCGACTGAACCGGCATCCAGGCATTACGAAGCGCGTTCACAATGCACAAGCCACATACATTCTTTACAAGTCTAAAAGTAACATATATTCTACATAATCCCAAAACTGCCACACTTTCTAATCAACCACCTATATTCTGCTGAAACCAAAAACTGTCAAACAATCTACTCAACCCTACAACAGTCAAACGATCTACTAAACCCTAAAACTTTAATATATTCTACTCCACTCTGAAACTGTCCTACGTTTTACTCACCCCTGATCTAGCTTTATCTTCACTGTACTGTGCTGCAACCTCATTGAATTTCATTCCGCTTCGGAGCTTTTCAAGGGCTTCTAACGCTTTGGACTGCTTTTCGCACAGAATATGACGAACCTGGAAAAAACACAAGCATATCTCTTACCGCTATCGTCAGTCCCATAGCATATCATGTCGTTGGGTCACCAGTTGCTGCTGACTGCCTGATCAGTTCCCCTACCTCTGTCGGTCAGATTCAGTGGGGCTGATTTTTGCAAATTTGGGGCCTGGGTGCTTTATTAATATCCTACCCCAAACGGGGGAAATCCACAGGTCACTGGACAGTCTAATATTTCAGGAGTGGTAGATAGGCTGCATGCAGTCATGGGATATAGGTGGGTTGGGGTTAGGGCCAGTTCTATATGTTCTGGGGGTCATTAAAAGCATCAGAAAGCCAGGAAACCCAGTCTTACCACCCTCTAAAATGTTGCTGTCCTGTGACATCATCTGGGGTAAGATAATAAAGAACCAAGGCCTGTCCAGTCAGGTAGATTCTGTATCCAAGGTTTTCAGACAGAATTTCAATCTCCTTGCAAATGGGTCACCCCACAAGTGCTCCATTCATGTTCCAGTGTAAACCGCACAAAATGTCCATCTGTCTCATGTGAAAAGACATCTAGTCCCTTAAAATTCAACAGCTTGTACACATGTCAAATGCATAAGGCAGCTACCAGGCTGCAGAACACCAAAATCCTATCACTAGAATTGCAACTCACAGTAACTGGTATATATTCAATTTCCTCCACCCTACAATGAGGTCCCGGAACCCACACTTGTTCCAGTTTGTCTCTTGTTGTCTACGGGCAAGGAAAAAAACAGCCACTCCTTGCAACGATGCCCCTAGTTAGATGCAATTATTGGTTGTTTACGGTGAAAATCCACTGTCACTGTAAGTTCACATAATAATATACTTTCATATTTAATATTGTTTGAGATTAGGGTAAGGCTCTGTGCTCGGGTTAGCCCTAACTCTAACCACAAACAATAATAAATATGAAAGAATGTTATTATGTGAACTTACAGATACAATGGGTTACGTCTCCTGGGGTCGGCACTTACAATAGTTTGCACCCCCCCCCCCTCGGTCGCCGTTGTCCAGGAGTATCAAAAGATCACCACTTTCTAGTGTTTCTGATTAAGTTTTCTTTGGGTTTACTCTTTCAAAACATCCTGATTACTGCAACTTATCTTCAATTCATAATTTCTTTTAAAGATAACGAATACTTAAGATACATTTCGGGGAGGGGGGGGGGGGGGTTGCAACAAATGATTTGGTTATTTTTGATTTTCTAGATAAATAATTGTGGCCTTTATTCACAAAAATATGACACACATTAGTCATTATTAGTATTTCTACTTTACAAGCCAACACTGTCAGTAACCCCTAGGGGATTTTTGTTTCTAATATTGCATAAGAATTAATTAAATGAATTAAAAATAAATTACTAAATAATAGTTTATAATATTGCCACATGTTTTCTGTGTACCTTCACAGCGGTCCCTCCTTTTGCTGTTTTGCCTTCACTCTCCCCTCCTTCAGCCCCTTTACTCTTGCCACCCTTACTCCCACCGCTGGCTCCGCCGCCACCACCTTTTGCCTTCGGCATATCGAAAACTGCAGACCGTTACAACCAAAAAAAAAAAAAAAAGAAGATAACTAAGAGGAGGTCCCTCTACCCGCAAGTTTCCAAAAACTGTTAATAGCTCCCGCAGATTCGCAGAAGCGGAAATGCTGCTGTTGATCATCAATATAGTATATTCCTGTTGATTGGTTGATCGCCGCCTCTAAACCAATCACCTTACTTGTAACATTCTCCGCACATCAAGGTAGAAATCCAAGATGGCGGTGCCGTGGTGCGAAGCCTTTGTCAATTTAAGAATCGCATTTATGCGTTAAAAACAAATTCATAATATCGGTAGCAGCATAATATCTGAAGAGTTAACATCTGTTACAGAATGCGGGAGTAAATATGCCGGAGTTTTGTTTCTGGTAAGTATGTTTTGGGTATTGTGTAGTCAGGGAATGCTCAATGGTGGGTCATTCACCGCGTCGGGTCTGCTAGCTACTAATAGTACTATCATAGGCCATAGCTATGCTGCATGATAGAGGAATACAATAAGGATGGCTGAAATAAGATTACTTTTGTTAACTTAATAATGCAAAGATTGAAGTCATGTTAACAAGTGATGTATGTTAAAACGGTCGGATATTTATATAGGGTCTTAACTGCCTCTTGAATTTTCTTAATTCAATTATTGGCCGTCCCTGCAAAAGGCGACCCTAGGGGACGTAATCTAATGTTAGTTAACATTACTGTAAGTGGCGACTGCCAGGGGACGTAATCCAATGTTTGTGTAAGTTTGCATAATACTAAATTCTTCTATTTTTAATACTGTTTGAGATTAGGGTAACCGGTTAGATTTAAGTTAAAGCGGCTATCTTCCGAATAACGGTCCCAAATTATCGAGGCAGAAAATATACCCTAACAGGGCCTCAGTCACATGTCAGTTGCGCACTTCCGGCGACCTTAATTGTGCACTTCCGCCACCGCTGGGAGCATCTAGATGGCTGGGACTCACGAGCAGCAGCTACCGCATTTCCTGCAGCTGCCTTGATTTTATTTGCTCATGAGTCCCAGCCATCTAGTTTAGCCTCAATCCACGCCGCGTGGGGGATACTCTCAGTGGTGGCAGTATAGTCCCCGGAAGTGCACAATTGACACGTCCCTGTTAGGGTATATTTTCTGCCTCGATAATTTGGGGCCGTTATTCGGAAGATAGCGGTTAAAGCTAACCCTAACCCAAGGACTAAACCAAATCCTTACCCTACCCATAATCTTAAAAGTAAACAATATTAAATATGAAAGAATATTATCATTATGTGAACACACACAAACAATTGATTGTCTCCCTTACGATTGCTTAAACAACCATTGGGCTATCTTCCAAATAACGGTCCCAAATTATCGAGGCCGAAAATATACTCTAACAGGGCCTCAGTCACGTGTCACTTGCGGACTTCCGGGGACTATACCGCCACTGCCAAATTGCGGACTTCTGGGGGCTTTACCGCCACTGCTGAGAGTATCTCCCACGCCACGCATAGCGGCGTGCATTGGGGCTAAACTATATGGCTGGGACTCACCAGCAGAAATAGTGCAGTTTGTCTTGAAAAGAGGCATGTCTTGATTTTGGAAGTCTTGATTTCTAAGGCTAGCAAAATCAGGGCTGTGAGAATGTGCAGGACTTTTAAGTATGAGAGGGACAGTACCCTTCTTTGACTCCTCCAACAGAAGATATGCAGCAGAACCACCTCCTCAGCTTTTGTGCAGTCTCCATGGTAGACCCAAGAAGTAGAACGGGCATGGAGAGCAAAGCGAGCAGCAGTTAAGCAGTTACAGAAAGGCACCTCACAGGTTACAAGAGGATGCAGAGAAGCTAGAAAGACAAAAGAAAAAGTAGAAGAGTTCAAGCGGTTTGCAGCAGATGCAAAAACAGCTAAATGGGAAGATTTTATGAGCGAAATTGGAGGGGATTAATCACTGGGTAGGTTTTGAAAACTTTACTGACAGATGCAAAGGAAAGCTTGGCCTGTCACAACAGGCATTATATACACTGATAATGATAAGCCAGTAACAACAGACAAAGAGTTGGGGGACACATTTTTGAAGAGATTTATATTTCACACTGATCATAATGATAGAGGGCTTAGAAATTCAGTTAAAGGTAATCTGTCCAATACTATAAATTCTAACTATTTTCAGGATATCATTAGGGTGGTAAAATATGTGTTGCAAAAAACAAAAATCTGCTCCGGAGCCAAACGGAGTCATGTATGCCCATATGAAGAGTACTAGCTGTGCCCTGCCACGCGTTGCTGTGGCCCCGAATGGTGAAATGGAAAAGAAAGAAAGTAGCTCTCAGCTAACAGTGTCTGTCATAACCCTCAACCCCCTCCCTCTCCCCTCCACCCAGTCATATCTCCCTCTCAGAAGGATTGAAAAATCATCCCCGGCGAAAGTATTAAAATAGAAATAGTTAAGAAATGAGAACTTGAAAATAATGTTTTAAGCTATCTCAGCTAACAGTGTCAAGCGAACCCCCCCACCCCCCCTCCCCAAAATATTTCCCTCTCTGAAGAAATACAAAATCATCACTTGGCGAAATTATTAAAATAGAAATAGTTAAGAAAGGATAACTTTAAAATAATGTTTTAAGCTCTCTCAGTTAACAGTGTCTGCCATCAACCCCCCCCCCCCCCCCCCCTTTCCCCCCACTAATCATATCCTCGCCGAAGGATGGGAAAGTCATCATCTGACGAAATCTGGTAACTAAATTGAGCATTGCATCCATGTCCACCCAGAGAAAAATGGATAGCATTAATGTGTACTGAGAAGTAAATGTGGCCAGAGTAACAGCTACTCCATCCAGTACAGTACTACTGCTACTATAAAACTCCATCACCTCACCAGTGATGGAATCCACAGTAATAGTCCGTGATTGAACAAAAAGTACACTATACTCACAAATAGCGAAAATAAAAACCAGCACCCGTCATCTCTCCCTCTACGAAGGGACGATTTTTAATTACCCTTGGCATCTGTGTCGACCCAAACCAAACTGGACACTAAGCCGTCTTAGTTAACAGTTTTCGGAGGAAGGTTAAATGGGACTTAACTGAAACCTGATGTCTGTGGGTGTAAGGCGCAGATATCGCAACTTAGCTGTAAACCACAACACAGCGTGCCAACCGTCAACTCAAGGGCGAACAAATGTTACCCGTGACATGACCAGTGATCATCATGTCACCACTATCGCTGGCTAGCTGTAAACCTCAAAACCGAGCCCAAAAAATGTGTAAATATCGCAGTCTAGCTATAAACCACAACAAAACATGGCAGCCACCCAGTTAGGTGCCTCCTCAAAAAAAAAAGTCATTCTGCTGGGAATCGAACCCCGATCAACCGCATGAAAGGCAGAATGCCTTCATCTACGCTACCAAATACACAAGCAGTTAGTAGAAATGAAAGTATATAATAATAATTTAAAGTTCAGTGTTACACAGTCAAAGGTGGCCAATAACTAAAAACAAATCCGGGCCGGCAACAAAATAACTAATGAAATGATCGCTGCTGGAGCTACATCGTTCGTGGTTTGGGCAAAACTCATAAATGCAAACACGCTTTGAGTCAGAGACAACGTTGTGTGGAAATTTGAAAGCAATCGGTTTGGATAGTTACCAGCCACAAAAAGATACCTGATCAAATTCAGTTACTTTTGCTTTTGATGTTTATGAGGGCTTCCAGAACAGACAGGAGACAGTTGTGGCAGCTCTTGATCTTGAGGATGCCTACAATAGAGTCAGGTATGGTATTTTGCTATCTGCACTCATGCAGAAGGGGTTTGTCCCTGGCTTGTGAACTGGGTAGCAGCTGTTCTACATTCAGGTATGGTTGCCCTTGGCCTGGGTACATGGACCTCAGAACAATGTAATATCGCCCCGGGACTACCCCTAGGGTTCTGCAATTTCACCAGTGTTCTTCAATGTGTATACAAACAAGATTGCAGAACTCAAAGCACCAGGTGTTGGAAGGATATTGGCATTTGCTGATGATGTTCTTGCATATATGCTGGGGAGTGAGTAATAGGCAGCGAATAGACCAAGAGCTACAGGCAACTGTAAACAAAGTGACTGACTAGTCTGCAGAAATTGGTGCTGTCATGAACTCAGAGAAGGCGGCTGTTTTTGTTTTGTGGTGCTCTCTGGACAATAGAATCGTAAGTAAGAGCTAATGTTCCAAGCCTCACAGTTAATAACAATAACATCAAACGAGAAAGCAAACTGAGGTACCTGGGTATCACTTTCGATAAAAGCCTGTCCTATAGGGATCACAAGTGATGTGATTATCTATACAGATGGCTCTGTGTTGAGGGGCAGACGATGTGCATAGGGATTTATAGCAAAGGCGAATGGACGTTGCTTAGAGCAACAAAGCCTGGCATATGATACCACGTCTAGTTTGAGAATGGATGTGGAGGCAGTCACTGCTGCCTTCCGCTGGCTTGAGAGTCAGCTGTATACGCATGCCGTGAGTGTCACTGACTCACAGAGCATGTTGAGAAAGATGGAGACAGGTATTCTTCGTGCAGAGTGGCAAGCATCACTTCAGAGGTCCAGGGTAGTTAGTATCATTTGGATATTCTCTCAAGTCATGCCAGTGTGTTGGGAAATGAGCAGGCAGATAGACTGGTCGGTTCTGTACCATTTGGTGGTGAATCGATGTATGACAAGCTAGATGTTGTGAGGGCCCTCTGGGAGCGAGTGAACAATGTTGAAGTGCAAATAGATCATTACAAACTAAGCAGCTCCAATTGTGTTTCCAGAGGGTTTTCTTTTTTTAAATTGCACCTTTGAACCAGTGAGTCACTGTGGCTCAGTGTCTAGACGCTGGCCTGCGGATCGGAAGGTCGTGGGTTCGTTCCCTGTCATAGACTTTTTTCAAAAATGGCCTTGGCTCCCAGGTCGACCCAGCCTCAAGTGGATACCAAGCGCAGTCCTGGGAAGTAAAGGCAGCTGGCGTGATGCTGATCACATCCCGGATCTTGTGCCTTTGGTCTATTAATATAGGCCTAGCCCTATATATACCCAATAGGCCTGAAAGGTGTGGAAAAGGGTTCTTTACTTTATCTTTGAACCAAATGGCACATTTTGAAACTAGCCTATGACCTTCATATCATTAAGCAAAAAAGTTAAATAGCCATGTTAGATTTGCTAAGGCTGCAGTCGGTGTCACTTGTTTCCACAAGAGAGAGTGATTGACCTTCTTTGTGGTTTTTATTGGCACAGGAAGGGAGGCCAAATATCGGATGACCTGTTTTCTGTGAATTTGGACTTGTGATTGTCTGATTGTCATGGATACAGACCCCACCCGCACCCTTTTTTTAAAAAATTTTTATCGAACAAAAGAAGTAGGCGATTGCAAAAAATCTTTCCATCTGCAAAAGGGGTTTTCAGACTTTCATGTTAATTTTGTTTTTCCAGGGACTTGCGTAACTAACAAAACATTCAGGCCAGTGGCGAATTAAAAGGGTTCATCTGAAACAATTGTAACATTTGGCACTGCATCTCATAATGCAGAAATCCACTGACAGTGATGATTTGAGCGACGAAGGAGAACTCACAGTGAAAATGGAGTCAGAAATGTCACCACAGTATTCAATTCAAGATGACCAGGATGGGGACGATGGCGAGAGTCAGGTTAGCATTGAAACAGTTTTTGTCAGCTTGTTTGTCTATATTTTATTTTAAATGTAGCAGCTGGGCTGTTTGTGTGTATTTTAAATTGAGATTTCAGTGTTTTTTTAATTTTTAAAAATTTTTATTATACATGTACAATTAGAAGACAATCTACATTCTTTGGTCATATGGGGGGGGGGGGGGCTGGAGTGCATCGTGACAGTTTGATAGTTGGAGGGGGACAGGGAGACAGAGAAGATGATGGACAATTTGACATCATGACATGGAAGATCGTGTGTCAGAATTAATTGAAAGTACACGAAACAAAAAGTTGTGGATGACATTACTACCAAAGCCACTCAGCAGGGACTATAAGGTTTTTTTTTTTTTTAAATTAAACTTTTTTTTTTTCAACAGAGCAGCGAACATGAATACGGTGCAGGAGATCAGACTCCAGTGCAGGATATAAGTCGTCAGGGTAAAACACCCTAAGAAAGGTGCTTAGAAGAAGATCAGAGCACTTGTTATGCCCAACATGGCAGAGAATGAACAGAATAAATTTTCAACATCAGTGCCTTGATCTTGGCTCCCAGGTTGGCCCTGCATAAAATTGGTCCCGGGTAAAGTCATGGGAAGTAAAGCTGCTGGCATGATGCTTACCACATCACCCAGCAGGTGCCGATTGGTCTGTACATAGTAAACAGTGGCTGAGGGGCTGTGGAAACAGTTCTAGTCTTGGCATGCCGGGGTTTGGAGTCTCCTGCAGTAAATTTGATAGTTGACTACTTTGCATTGATGTTGACATCACATGACTATCATGCCTTTTAGAAAGCAATGGCAAACTACTGAATGTTAAATTGCACATTAAACAACAAAACAGTTAAATTCTGGGGTGGGTTTGCTATGTCTTGAAGAAGACGTGCAACTAACTTGTCACTTTTTAAAGGTTTGAATGGAATATTGGTTTTTGTAATTTTCATAAAACAAGATTTTTCATTTTTTAAAAGCAGAACATGTGAATGTTTGGTGGCTTTTGAAATGAATGCTTGCTCTTTCAATAGAGGTTATCAGCTTCTTTGGGTTTTTTTTGTGTGGGTACTTTTGGTGGAAAGTAATCTGGGTTGGGTGTGTAATTTCATGTTTTGAATCAAGAGTCAATCTGAATGATACAACAATGCAGTTTTGTTTAAGGTTTGAGAAGAGAATGGCAGCAAAGAAATTTTACATGCATGAATTTGGGTTGCTAATCCTTTTTTCACTAGAAAATTCAACATGCATGTGTCTATGCACATTTTTTTTTTTTTTTCTTCAGCATTCTGAGAGCCCTTGAGGCTCATTGCTACCAATATCACCTGCCTCCATCATCTCTGTGAATGGCCTCTTTCCAGTTGGTGACTTCAGTGTTTATAGATCATATCATCATCAAGTGCCTTGCCATCTGGTGTTCAGGCATCTCTAAAGATCGTGTGTCTTTGTTGTTCTGGATCAATTGGACTGATGATATTCTTCCATGTCACTGTCTAAAGCATATCCACCATCATTTCTCTTGGTCTACCTCTACCTCTTCTTCCAGTGGAGTGATCTTTCCAGTTGTGACACTATCTTCCAGTGCTCCATTTCTCTTCACATGACCAAAGAACTTTGCTTGTTTCCTGTGTCTACCTGTAAATTATCTCATCATCTTCTCGGTCTGCCTTGTGGTCTACTCTCATTCAAATTTTTTTTTAAAAACAGTTTGTGTCCCTCTGTTTTATGTATGCCCCAGCCATTGCAGTTTGTAAGACCTGATGATGCCAGTAATTATTAGTAGTGATTTTTTTTTTGAGTTGTTAACCTTTTGGCTCGGTACTCTGGATATCACAACGCTTCGGCCTTGATTCCATGATAGATACCGTAACTCTTGGGAAAATGTTGCTTTTCTGCTCACCCCCGAGCGTGAACCCAGACCACAAGGGGTTCGTCACCCGGTCTCCTCTCAGTCAAGTTTAACCAACTGCGCTAGCAAGCCGGGCCTAGTGCTGATAGAAAGAGATTATAAATATCATTGATCCTTTTTTTTTCTGCCTTTTCTCCACTGTTTGCATCTTTGATGAGTTCATAGATACCTTATAAGAATGTTTTCAGAAGTTTGTAAGTTTTACTTGTTTTTCAAAGCTACATTTGACACTTGGTCTAAGCTGTGTTTTATATATTGTTGTTGTTTGCGTTCACTGGCTGTAAACACTGGTGAAAAGACCTGGTTGTTCGTCCATTTCCAGACTTTGGCTTTGTTCCAGGACTTGTAGCGCGTGAAAACGTTTTACAGGTCTTGTTTATTTGTGTGCAGACTGTTGCTTTCTTGTCTCTCTATCAGATGCAGTCTGACTTTAAAGCAAGCACCTAATTAGTCGACTCTTAGGACATGCTTGTTGGGGAAGCAGTTGGTCTTTTTTTTGTTTTCCCTTCAATGGGACCCAAGAACCCACACTGGGATGTTGTATATATTGGGATTTTGGTGTTGCAAGTTAGAGAGCTTTTGATTTTAGCAGATGTTGCAGTATATAGAATACCTTCTTTCCATATTCTAGATTGCATTTCTTCTTATTACGTTGGAGAAGTTTAAGTTTGTACCAAGTACTTGTATGTTTTTGTTATTTTTATTGTTATTTCTTTTTCTGTGTGTGGCCAGTTTTGATCCAATGTGTATAGCATATGTATTGTATTGGTTGATTGCTCATCTCAGAGTCAACATCATAGCCCATTGGGCATTTCTGCAGTAAATATCTTTAGGTGTAGATGATAACCGTTCCCATAGCACTCTGGTTATACACAAGTTGTTCTCTTCCTCTCATACTCCACTCCTTATTCACACATTCTTACATATGTTATTCTATCTGACCAATTTTATACCAATACCAATTTTATTTTTTTAGAACCAAAATGGAGATGATAGTGCACATGCTCAAGTATATGAAAGACAGTCCAAGCGTATGAGAGATAAACACTCGGCTAAGGTAATCTATGGTTCTTTGTTGCATGTGGCGTTACTGATGAGGAATACTTAGTATGTTTAACTGCTAATAATGACTGTGACTTGTTGATCTTGAGTAATAACTAGTCCACATGATAAGTGATTAGGAGGACGAACTGGAAAAAATCCAAGAATAACTAGCACAGATGGCAGGTGATGGGAATTACTGATTGATTGATAACAATGGAAGAATAATTCAGTTAGTTAATCAGGTGCTGTTCCACCACATTGAAGGTTGGCTACAGTGGATCTCCAAAGGTTGGCTACAATGGATCTCCAGTACACTCTTGGCCTGGTTGTTCTCTCAGACTAACTGTTCATCCATCTCTTGATGTTTTCCTTTCATTGTATCATTGTCTACCTCTTGCTCACTTTTCTTCAACTTTTACATCCAGTCTGGTGTTTAAGCCTTTTATATCTTTTAATATGCCAGGAATAATTGGAAGGAAACTTCCCTGATTAGTCGTCTTGTGCGACCTGTTTGTTAGGGAGGCAGGGGTCTGTTCTGTTTTCTTCCCAGAATTGGGTCCGGAACCCACACAAGGAAGCTGTCTTTTTATTCCCATTCTCTTTGGAACTTCTTTTTGTGTGTGTGTGTGGTTTCAGTGACATGCAAAACTATTCTCCTGAATTCTAAACAGCAATAGTCAAGTCTGTTCTCTGTTTTCAAGTAGCCTTTTATCAGTAAAGACCTGTGTTCGTTTCAGGAAACCACCAAAGGAAAGAAGCGCAGGAGGGATGAAGATAAAGTCGGCTCATCACGGGAAGAGCTCCTACACCAGCAGGTAGATGAATACAGTGTAAGCAGTTATTTCTCATCTCCTCACGCACTTCCTGTATGGTTTGCATCAAATCTGTGCTATGTGCTTACCTTGTGTCCTGTACTTTGTTGATCAGAATTGCCTTTAAGCCCTTCATCCCAGAAACCCTTGGGAATATGAGGTCCAGAACCTGGTATGCCAGTTTGCAGTAGTTCCGAGGATTCAGAACGGACAGAGATGCCAAATTACTGGCATTTAGGTTTTATTATGTTTTGATATTTTTTTGTTTGTTTTGTTATTTCATTTGCCTGTAATTTATCATTAGCATGTTGTGCTCATTGTTGTACATTGTGTTTCTTTAATTCATGTAAATCTAACAGATTCTTGGTGTGCACTTTTCTTAAACTCTTAGTGTACGTTGTCACAAGGTATCTCCTCTGTAAAGTTGTAGGTTTAGTGTAAAACTGATTCATTTGATAAGTGATCTCAGTTGTCTGGGAGATCCTGGGGGATCTATACTTTATTTCATGCTCTTATCAGGTCATAAGCCACTCTCTGAAGAGATGTAGGTCATATTAGATAAACCCAGTTTAAATGTCATCTTTTTTCCTTTAATATTTTTATTCTTCTTCACTTTCTTTTTCTCCTCCTTTTCTGCTCTCATCAACCTTTTCCCTTCTTTCTGTCCCTCCTTATACTTCTTTTCTGTTAATCTTTAAGATGCATAAGAGTTTACACATCTTTGTTAGACTTGGTAAATGTTTGCTGCAGTTTTCAAGGCTGCTGCTCTAGCTGTCCACCCTTGAAGCACATATCTTTAGGTTGCTCATTCCATCCTGCACATTTCTCCATTCTGATCCGTCATTACAGTACATTTCTATGTGATGAGCCATCGATATAGCACATTTCTCTGTGCTGACCCTTTGATATAGCATATTTCTCTGTGCTGACCCATTGATATAGCACATTTCTCTGTGCAGATCCATCAATACAGTAAATTTCTCTGTGCTGACCCATTGATATAGCTCATTTCTCTATGGTGATCCATCAGTAAAGTACATTTCTCTGTGCTGATCCATCAGTACAGTATATTTCTCTGTGCTGATCCATCAGTACAGCACATTTCTCTGTGCTGATCCATCAGTAAAGTACATTTCTCTGTGCTGATCCATCGATATAGCACATTTCTCTGTGCTGATCCATCAATAAGGTTCATTTCTCTGTGCTGATCCATTAATACAGTACATTTCTCTGTGCTGATCCATCGATATAGCACATTTCTCTGTGCTGATCCATCAGTACAGTACTTTTCTCTGTGCTTATCCATCCATATAGCACATTTACGCGTGTTGATCTTTCCTAATAGCACATTACACTGTGCTGATTAATATTGTATCATTGTGTGTGTGTGTGTGTGCTTTTTTGTGACTTTCACTTTCAGTGAGCAGGTTGTAGTTATGTTAAATTTTACAGAATTGACAGTATAACTATATTCTAAAAATCCACATTATCTGTCTACTTTTGTGAATGTGTTGAGGGATAGGAATAAGACTACTCAGTCAATCAGTCAGGTGCCATCTCCACAGTGAAAAATTGGCTGCAATGGATCTCCAACACACACTGTCCTTTACCCTGGACAGCATACTGCTGTTCGTCCGTCTCTTAATGTTTTTCTTCCATGTGTATCGCTACCTGCCTCTTGCTCGCTTGCTTTCATAAAATAAGACTACTTTAGTAAAAATGACTAGTCTTGCTTTATTTAATAGACATTGGGTTGTCAGTCAGGCATTTTTTTTTATAAACTGCAGTACTACTGTAATTGACACATGGATACCTGCAGTTTAATTTGCAGTATTGGATTAGGAAAGAACACTTTAAAAAATGTTTGATCTTCAGGTTCTTCAGTTGACATGTGTGCAGTCTACTTGAAGTATACATCGGTTGGATTGTTTCTGATCATGTCCTGTGACTCGTGGTATACCAAGATTTGAGATACATTCCTGTTATTTTTTGGGTGTGTTTTATCATTATGTTAGTGGGTGCACTGGGTGCGTTGTTCCTTCTTTGTGTTCAGTGTGGTTGTTACACTGGTATTTCTAGTTTCAATTGTTAATTGGGTTCAGTTATTGATGTGTTAAATCACTCTCATTTAATGTCAGAAAGAAGGTGCTAAAATGTTACATAGAACCTGTTCTGCTGTATGGCAGTGAATCTTGGAATGTCACTGAACAAATAATGAGGATTTGGAAGCGTCAGAGTTGTGGTTTCTGAGACGAATGTTATGATTAACTGTGACAGCTAGAGTATGTAACAACGATTCCTTAAAAGAGGCTAATGAAAGTAGATCTCTATATACAACAATAAGAAAGAGACAAACACTGTTTTTGGCGACTAATGAGAAAGGCATTGGAGAACATCGTGACAACTGGAAAGAGGGGTAGAGGCAGACCAAGAAAGATGATGCTAGATGGGCTAAAACGATGGCTTGGAGGTATATTATCAAGAGAGCTGTTCCAGGGAACGTGATCTGTGGAGACGCATGAGCGCACCATGCAGGGCACATTATGATGGTTTAAAGTGCCTCTCATGTGCAGCATTGTGAAGACATTAATTACTTTATCTGTGTGACACAGATAAACACTGTATCATTGTTCTTCGCGTTCACTGCCTCGTAAATTCCGACGGAAAGTTCTGGTTGTTCATTCACTTCTGGACTTTAGTCTTTTTTCAGAATTTGGGTTGTGCATGCAGATCTATCTTACAGATCTGGCTTCTTGCATGCAGACTATTGGTTCCTCTCCTATAAGGCGGGTGCACTCAGACTTTGAAGGAAAGCCCCTAATTAACCGCCTTGTAGGGCATGCTTGTTAGAGAGGCAGGCCCCTACCCCCCAAATGAAATGGGGCCCTGAAACACACACAGGAAGGCATTTTATTGTCAGATAACCTACTTTTCTTAAATTCCTGGATTTCAGTCATCCATGTGAATTAGCTAAACACATTCTTGTTGACTTCCCTACACTTTAAAATGGCTGAAATCATCCAACCATATGAAAACTCTAATACATTCTCAATCACTGCCCTTTACTTTAAAATACATATTTTATTATTACTTCTTCTTCTTCAGCATTCCGAGCCCCTGAGGTTCATTGCTGCAGATATCACACACCTCCATTCATCTCTCTGGTTGGCCTTCTCTTACTAGTTGGTGACACCAAGTGTTTGTAGGTCTGTCTGGACATTATCTCTTCATCATCTTCTTGGTCTGCCTGATGGTTTACGACCATTCATCTCCCTTTTTGTGTACAGTTTTTACTTCTCTATCATTTGACATTCTTTCAATATGCCCCAACTATTTCAGTCTATTGACTCTCATGATACCCATGATCAGTTGTGATTTAAACAGATTACGAATTTCGTTGTTTTTTCTCACTCTGTATTCCCCACTGTTTGCATCTTTGTTGTTACCAGTTGAAAAAAATTGTACACATTCTCAATCATTGCCCTACATTTTAAAATGTCTGAATTACACATATCCCTATGACATATAGACCTGACATTGTTTGGTCACTGCCTTAGAAAGGGGGAAAGCTTCTGTACGAGAGGGGCTTTCAAATGTCAACCTCAAAAGTGTGATTGGAATTATCATTACCAAGCGGCATGACTTCTGTGACGGATGTCACTATCAGGTCAGGCATACCGAGTGGTGACGCCAGAGTGTTGTGACACTTCCAGCTCCACTCAGACATTGGCTGAACTGACAGACATGCATCACCATACTGTAGCTTCATTTGATGATGTATTTCTGTAGGTTTTACCCCATCACTGATTTTTTTTAAAACAAAAAAGAAGAGAAAAACTGATAACAGAATGGTGCTCCTCTTTGTCATAAATGGGTTGGCCATCTTTAAACTTTCCACCAGAGTTTACAGCCGGTAAGCTCGAAGAAGAAGAAAAAGGTTTTTTGACCTACTGTAAGCGTTATCTAAATAGTAGGTGTCATTTTGCTTGCTTTGAGTGTTTTTCTATACACTAAGTGTCATTTTATTTGTTGCTACATGTTTTATCGATAAAATGATTGTCATTTCACTTGATGTAAGAGTTACATATACATTACATGTCAGTTGACTTGTTGTTGTAAATGTGCTCTACCTGGCATGTATTGTTTGATTTTCTAAGTGTTGCCTGTACAGAAGGTGTCATTTGATTTGCTATAAGTGTTGTCTATACAATAGATGTCATTTGATTTCAGAAATCTAGACACCCAGAGTCTGTTATGGATGTGAGTTCAAAAAGGCAACATAAGAAGAAGGTTAGTATGTGCCGGAGTGAGCATCTTTCTGAGATATACGAGTGGGTTTATCATCACCATCCCCCATGTGGGTTTTGGGGCCCTCATGTTTAGTCTGCCTCTTATGTCTGTGCCTTTCTGCTCATCACATCAGATTTTGCAGGGGCTGCCTGGTCTTGAGGCATGGCGTCCGCCTAGAGTTCTAGAGGTCCTGAATTCAAGCCCCGGTGAAGGCTGGGAATATTTTCACGTGGACTTCTAGTAATTTCCCCTGGTCTCTGGGTAGTAAGATGTGTATTGTTGCACACATAAAAAAATCCTTTGGCAGAAAAAGAGTAGCCTAACACAGCTGCCCGAGCAAAATTTGGAGTAGAAAATCTACTTAAAGTATTTCAGGATCCTCGCTGGTGCTCTGTGTTTGTGCACTGCGCTGAGATTCTTCGGACCGGCCTGAGTCAGAAGTAGAACAGAGCACTTATGGGTTACTACCGTTGTGCCGTGATGTTAATCCGTCATCTAAACCTAAACCTCATCACATCAGATTTCAGCAACTCCTAAGTATTCACCTATTACGACATGATAGGCAGAAGTTCTGTAATTATTTGGGGGGGGGGGGGGGGGGGGTAAAAACCTAAAATCCACCGTACTAGATTTGAGCAACGGTTTGTGTAAGGTTTACCACCTCTGTACATATTCTATCTAAATTAACAGACTCTTGATTACCTCTGGATGTTTTATAAAGTAAAAAAAAAAAAAAAAATTGACCGCCGACTACCTTAGAGCGAATTTTTTATGATGTCCTAATAAATCCTTTTGATTATCCGTACCTGACAATACTGAATTATCCACTAGTTGTAATTCACCTGTTGCTTAGTGCATCTGATTTCGGTAGACATTCTATCAGGTCTGTCTTCCCTAACCTTTTCCGTCCTCAAGTGTAACTGCGAGGTGGCAAGTTTGTGTGTATCCATTTGTCAGACTCCTGCCTTTTGACTTTTTCAACTTTGGAAAGACAAGAAAAAGAAGAAGAATAACCTGCTATAAATGGTGGTGGTAAGACACTGACATTGTAACAAACACCAGGTGTTATGATTTAACAGAAATCTCTTCAACTTTTTTAGTTTCAGATAATGTTTAATGCAACAGTGTTTAGGCTGTAGATGTGTATCCTAAAGTAGCTTCCCCCTTCTCCCCCCCCCCCCAAAAAAAAAACCCCCACAGCTTTAGTGAGAGAAGGTGCTATAATAACAGTCATAAAATAATGGGTTAACATATGACAAGAATAGAATGGATACAGTCAAGAAATGAGTATATATGGTGTAACCAATGAACGTTTGGTGAGTTTCTTGGTACTGAAGTAGTTAATTCTTCACAGTAATCAAACCCTTACAGCTCAGTGTCAGTAACAGTTGATCTTATTGCTATTTTTTCCTTCTTCTGTGTTTTTCCCCCCTAAATTCTGCTTATCAGTGTTTAAGCATTTGTTTTTGTTTACTGTATTTTGGCTTCATATGCTTGTGTTGGGTGTTCTTTTGTTTTTTTATTATGTGTGTTTAGTTTTGAGCGGCGTCTGCTTATTTGTATACAGACCATTGCTTCCTCTCCTCTCAGATAGATGCGCTCCGACTTCCGAGGAAAAGTCTTTGATTAGTCGCCTTTTATGACATGCCTGATAGTTGGGCATTCTCCCCCCCCCCCCAACTACTTTCCTAATGAGACCTCGAAGCCCACACAGAAAATGTAACATGTATATGTACTAGGGCTGTACCGAATATTCGCTTCGGGGCCGAATAATGGACCTAATAACTATTCGGTATTCGGCCGAATAGTTGCGGTCGCGCCGAATACAAATAGAGATTACCTTACACCCGTTTCTGGACTGGTGGAAAATAAACATATCAAGATTTCCCACCTTGGTTCATACTGTCAAGTGTTATCTTTGTGCACCACCTACGAGCATACCAAGTGAATGTCTGTTTAGTACAGCTGGAAATACCTTCTGTGAGACAAGAAGCTACCTTAATGCTGACAACATGGAACGATTGTTTTTTTTAAAGCTAATGCTGCTTTCATGGATTAACTAAGCTGTCAGTGACAATTTACAAGTTTAGTTACTTGTTATAAAACTAAGAATACTTTCATTCCTAGGTATTAGTTACCACAGACTGACTGACTGAAGGATGCAAAACATTAAATGTTTTTGAATGTTTACTATTCTGTACTACATTTTGTGAAGTAAAATTTCAGCGTATATTTGACATTATGGATTTTTTTTAAAAGATCTATTTTATACACTGTTCGAAAGTGGAAGATTGGGCCTCAGTTTGAAAAGTGGGAAGACAGAAGTAATGGTGGTATCAAAGAAAATAATTATTCCTAAATGTGTCAATGGTTTTATTTTGAGACAAGTACAGAAATTTATCTGGGCACATGGATAACATCAGATGGAAGATCCATTACTGAAATAAGAAACAGAATAGGACAGGCAAAAACTGCATTTTATAAAATAAAGAACATCTTGTGCAATATATCTTTGTCAGTGAAGGTTAGAAAAAGAATTCTTGCTTGCTATATACATCCAGTTTTAACATATGGATGTGAGTCCTGGACTATCGGTAGGCAGGCCAAACAATTTCTTGAGGCCTCAGAGATGTGGTTTTACAGAACAATGCTTAAAATACCTTGGACAGCCAAAAACACAAAAAAAAGCAACCAAGAGGTTTTGAAAGAGTTGGGAGCCCGAAGACAACTACTCACAGACATCAGAAGGAGACAGTCATAATTTTTCGGCCATGTTATAAGATGAGGGAAAATAGAACATTTGGTGACCACTGGAAAGATATGTGGAAGGAGGGATAGAGGAAGACAACTACTCACAGACATCAGAAGGAGACAGTCATAATTTTTCGGCCATGTTATAAGATGAGGGAAAATAGAACGTGGTGACCACTGGAAAGATATGTGGAAGGAGGGATAGAGGAAGACAACTACTCACAGACATCAGAAGGAGACAGTCATAATTTTTCGGCCATGTTATAAGATGAGGGAAAATAGAACGTGGTGACCACTGGAAAGATATGTGGAAGGAAGGATAGAGGAATTCAACGGAGAAGATTTTTGACAGTCTTGTTGCATGGCATGGAGTTGTGTCAGCACACGAACTAATACATGCTGCAGGAGATCGCAGATTGTGGCCAGGCAATATCAACCAAGCCAGTCGGCAAAGCACTGATGATGATGATTCACTATTCGTATTCGGCCGAATAGTTGGTCCAGCTATTCATGTTCGGCTGAATGGTGTAAATCACTATTCGGTACAGCCCTAATATATACCATCTACATTTGTATTTGTTTCTGTCTTAGCAATTAGCTGGTCAACAGAATATTTCTCCTATTTTCCTGACCAGAATGTTTAAAACAGTTTGAAGAACACTGCTTTAAAGGACATTGCAAACCAGGGATATTCTTAAGCTCACCTTGCTCAGGGACCAAAATCTTGAATATGGGGATAGTAACCGGCCAGTGGCCCTAGCTCAGCTTAGAAATGTCACTAATACATTATAATTTGACAGATTAGACAAAAAAGATGCATCTGAAGAAACAATTCTCATTTTATTTGGATGTATTAATTTTTTGTGTGTGTGCTTATTTGATGTTGACGTAACTCTGTAGAAAGGCACCTGACTAGCTACAGCGAGATATAAATGGTAATAAATTGTGCAATGTATTTGTGTCCGCATTATTTAATCGCTGGCAATAATCCTCTGGCCACTTTCTAGCTCTCTGCGGGCCAGATTCGGCCTAAAGTAAAGGTAAAGTCGGGAGATGTGAACCAGCGTCATTGCTCACAGTTATACACCATAGGTGCTCTGCCACCAGTACGGACAGCTGATAAGAAACTGTCCCGTGTGTCGCCGTCCACACATAACTCTGAAGCTACAGCGATATTCCTCCTTTTACCCCAGAGTGTCACTGTACCCATTACCTAGAGACTGGGCGTACCCCGGGAACCGCCCGGCTTCGAACACCGACCGTGGCTGCAGCGAGTCGCAGCTGGACTTGAAAGTGAGCCTCCTATCAACTGCGCTATTGCATTCGGCCTACAGGCTGCCACTTGAATAACCCTGTTCTAAACCAAACCAGGATATTGTTTTCTTTTTGCTGTTTATCCTTTTACTAGAAATTTTAATTCAGTAGTTTTGCTATGCTTCCCGGGCAGTATACTGCATATTTCATTGTTGAAACCAGTGCAAAGCGGTCTTGTGTCAAATCACCTGCAATTAATGTGTCAGAATTATGAAATTCGCTTTATAACCCCTAAACCATGGACACAGACTAAAAATATTAACGCTGCTAATAATTTATGATCAATAAATTAGTGTGACACAGTTATGTCTTTCACATTTCCCAAGCTTAGATGTGCCTAATCCGGAGCTTAGTATACGATAGATAAGGTTTGTGAGACTCTTAATTGTGTTTAACAACACAGCCAGTGATGTAGCAAACTATTAGTAATAAGTTTGTTTATTCAACAATATCCTGTCAATTTATGCGGAACTAACATATTTCATTTAAACATCAGTATAACATTCTAGTATCTTATTGCTGGCTATTCATATGTCTGACGATAAGTTCCTTAATCTCTTCTAGCGAAGCAAAACCAAGTTTACTATATTTCTTTAAGCGAAGCCGCATCAGTTCTTTTTGTCAACTGCCTTCTCAAGCATCTAGGCACTGACTGTCCTCCTTTCTCCCTTCGCTCGTTTGATTTTCTCACCCGCTTTCTCTCTCTTCCTCGTGTGGGTCATCAATCACCGTCTGTCACCCTTCATCCCTTTCCATCTTATTGTGCCTAGGTGGTCGTTTGCGATCGTCCGTACATGGTCTTATTTTCCTGACACCTGCACCTTCTCCTTCTTCATTGTGTACTTGCCAATCTCAGTCTCTCTAGTGCATCTTCGTGTGATCTTTTCCGACCAGCGTTCTAATCTAGTTTCTTGGGTTGCATGCTATCGTGCTTATACATCCGTCAATGTCAGATGTCATAGCTTCGTTTGGATAACCGTACTCTAGTCAACTCTCATAACCCTATTTCACCACATTAGCAGGGGGATCCAGTAAAGCTGAGACATGTAGCCTTACAGAAAAATGTCAAAATCATTTTTATATATCTTTATTTCAGAATTCTGCCACATCCGCTGTTGTCACCAACACCCCAGCTGATTCAACACAGGCAGTTGCAGCAGCTTCAGAAAATATTGCGCCAACTGCCCAAGCCATGGCTGCAAACCTTCAGGGAGCTCAGCAACCCCAGCAGCACATGCAGCAGTATTACCATCACATGACCGACGAAATGAGAGACTCTTTAGATTTGCTGTCGGAGCCAAAAAACGAGTTTTACGGGAATGAGTACAATAGCGGAGAGTACAATGAAGCCAAGCCACTTGCCGATCTACTTATGAATCCTACGATAGTCAGCTACAGCCAGGAGGGGAACAGCTTCTCTCAGGCCCAGCCGATTTTCAGCACAAGTCAGATGATAGCCCAGGCTTACAGCCATGCTCAGCAGATGGGGTCTGCCCCGATTTTCAGCCAAGTGGTGTCCAGCACCAACACCTATCCTCAGAGTGTCCCCACGCAGGTGGCAGGGAATATGAATGTGACGGTGGTCAGTTCCCACCAGGGACAGGAGGTGACTACAAATCAAAATAACCAGCAGCAGCAACAGCAGCAGACACAGACGATTGATGTGAACGGACAGCAGGTGCAAGCCCAGGTGGTGGGCCAGGCTCAGATGACCGCTCAGCAGGTCCAGAATTATGCTGATGCATACGCAGCTCAGGTCAGTGCTGATTCGGTTGTCCAGCAACAGCAGGGTCAGGTGGTGACATTCTCCCTTGCTGGTGGTCAGAATATGATTATTGCTTCTCCTCATGCCCAGCACGCTGGACAGAACTATGTCATCCAGTCCCATGGTGCTCAGCATGGTCAGAACATCCTCATAGCTGCCCCAGGGCAGCAGACCATGTCAGGTAATTTTATTGTGAAAACTGAAGGAGATGACATGGGCCACAACTTAGTGCTCACACAGCAGAATCTGCAGCAGGCTTTGGGTCAGAATATGCTTCTAACTCAAGATGGACAGTTAACCACAGCAGGTGGGGGTGATAGCGTTGTTCTGACCTCGGCAGATGGTCAGCAGAGGCATCATATCCAGACTACCAGGCAGATCCAGCCTGCTCCGCATCCCCAACAACAGATGATTGCCCAAGGTATCCCAATACAGGCTGGTGGAGGACAGATGCCACAGGTGTCTTTAGTTTTGCCTCAGGTAAATTCCCTGTTCCCACAGATTCAGACCTCTGCAGCATCAATCAATCCACAGGCTTTCCTTCAGGTGTGTGCCATGATGGACAAGACAATGGCTGTGGTGAAAGAATCCCACAGTGTTCTGTTGGAGTTGAATAAAAGAGTAGAGAGGATTGAGAACCATCCTTTCCTTCAGTCTGTGGCTTTGGCTGCAGCTGCCCAGTCCAAGATTGTCAAGCCCAAGCCTAAACCCAATGTTCCAGGAAGTTCTACTCCATCACCAGCCACACCCACAAGTGCAAACTCTATGGTTACTAAAGCTAACCTGAAAGCTGCCCTGTCCAGCTACCTTACCATCTCAGATTACACTGCAACAGATGAGCTAAAGCGCAGTGATTCCAACTCTGATCTCTTTATTCCTGTGGGCACAGTGTCCATGTTACAAGGCCAAGGCATGCTAGAGGCACCCAGCCCAAGTGAAACCCCCGAAACTGCCTCTAGCACAGTCCAGGAGCATGACCAGGACCTCCTGCCAATAGTTCTAAGCGGTATGGGAAATGGGGTCACTGCAGGGGTTCCAACTTCGGACATCAACGTGCCCATTGTTGACAGCCAGAGTGGTATTGCTGTAACCTTGTTTGATGAGGGCAATGAGAACCAGAAGTTTGCACTGGGGCCAGGTAGCGGCAAAGAACCAAATGCCAGATTCTCAAATACCTCAGCTACTCCTAAAACCGTCATCCTAGACCCACGCTTCTGGGAAATCCTGGTTGAGGATTTCCAGAAGAATATGAACTCTGACCAGCTCATCTCAGCCATGTCCTCGACTCGCAAACCATTAGTTCGCAGCATTGGAACATCCGAGATCAGCATCTGCTCCACAGTTCTCAAGGAAGCAGAGTCGGCTTGCCAGGGACGCCGCGAGCGTCTGGCCAAAGAGCTTGTGTTCAGGATTTTCACCCTGGGGGAAGTCTACGATCGTAATGTGTCCGGCGTGTTTTACATTAACGGCAAAAAGATGGAAAATAAAAATAAAGCCCTTGATCCTGCCAAGATGGCAGCCATCCACTACCTAGTGATGAAGTACCCACCCAGTGTGGTCGACAACCCCAGACTGGAAAGGTTGGTGTGGAAAAACTGTGTGGACAGGATTAATGATGCCCTCCGGCGGATCTACAACTGGATCCACAAGATTGTGGATGTGACTAACATCATGGAAAAGCTCCCAACAGAAAGCATCATGATGCATTAGTTGCTGAGGCTTGTTCTCATTGTAGGAGTACCACTGGGGCTCTGTATTCTTACAGATGCTTCCCCACTGGGAGTCTTATTTATCACAAGTTATGTGTATTACTGAACATACAGCTACAGTCAGAAATATGGATACATGGACAGTAATATGACTATGAAAATGAGGTCATTGGAAAGGCATTTCTTTAAACTGCTTCTCGTTGGAGACTGTTATCTTCACTTTCCCAGTCTGCAGCAGCAGTATTATGTCCTCTCACAATCTCAGGATCATTATGGTATGCAGTCTTCTTTTTTTTCTGCACTTTATCCCTCTGTAGAGCATATATGCCTTCCTCAAGTTCATACCAAGTCATCCGTATGCTTTACCATTGCAGTCAGCTCACCCCCCTATCCTCCTCATCATTTTAACCTCACTGGGGTTTCCTTGTACATGTGTTTTGTTTGGTGTGCCATTATTCCTTTGATCCTGTTGGTTCCATTGAATAGACATTCTGGTTATATTATTAGTTTTTCTCAGTATGTATCCTATCCATTGTCAGTATGTTTTCTTCACCTCTTGATTCCAAGAATTCAGAGCTCTTCTCTAGTGGCCCTATCATGCCATTTAATTTCCTTTCTTCTGCTCAGATGCCAGTTAATTAATGTTTGTAATTGTTAATTTTTTTTCTTTTTTAAAATTGATTCTCCGTGTATCAGCTTCATAGAAAAGTATTGGTCTAATATCAGAGCTAAATTATTTAAGCTTGGTGCTAGTTTTATTTCCCTTTGACTTCCATAGGATATGCGGACACCCATGCTTTAACTGCAGTGTGCAGATTTAGCACCATCAGGTGACTCACCCAGTTTAAAGTTTCAGGCTTTACATACAGTCCACCATTTTTCTTTGTAACACAGAGCAGGGTCATTCGACCAAGTTTAGGCAGAGAGGCAAAAATGTTTAAAATGGGGATTGTCAAGGGCCTGAAGTCCGAGCCCTAGCATGGGAAGATCATTAATTCAGTACAGTTAGCATTGAACTGCGGGCCATTTGTAAGGCCTTTGTTGAGCCATATTTGGGCCCAGGGGGCCACCATTTGAATAGCCCTGATGAAGAGTAACATACTTTCTACTCTTTATCTATATCCTTTGCATGTTGTTGACACATTAGGCATTCACAAGTGTGATCTCCATTGCTGCCAGTATGGTGCTTTTTTTGCCTGTGGTATCCCGTTTCAGTTTTAACTACTTCATTTCCCTTTCTACTGTCCTGTGGGTTTCCTTATGTCCTCTGTCTCCCTTTTTTCCATCTGCCATCCACCAAAGAGCTCTTGCCAAAATGTCCTGAGGCATTGTGCGAACATGACCAAGCCATCTCCATCTTCCGCCTTTAAAAACATTTGCCTATTAGAGTAATGTACTGTGTTTATTTTCAGCTTGTATCCATATTTCTGGCCCACCCTGTAATATCACTGAGACTGCTCAGTGACTGCAGAAATTTATCATTGACTTTTTGCTGTATTGTTGCCAAAGGTATCATTGATATTTTGCTGTATCGTTGCCGAAGGTATCATTGATATTTTGCTGTATTGTTGCCGAAGGTATCATTAATATATTTTGCTGCATCATTGCGGAATGTATCATTGATATTTTGTCGTATCATCGCGGAATGTGTCATATGATATTTTGCTGTATCATTGTGGAATATGTCATTGCAGACTGCATCATTGATATTTTGATGTATCATTGTGGAGTGTATCATTGATATATTGCTGTATCCTCTCAGAGCATCCCACAGAGTCATCATATTATCATCAACACCGATGAAACTATGTATCACCAGAGACTTTGCTCGTAGTTTTTAGTTTCCTGTTTATTGTCCATATTGTTTTTTGTTGTTGTTGTAATAAACAAACCCTTAGACTTTTGTATTCTGTTTCCTAGCATGTTGTGTGGATCCACAGCACAAGATCAAAATGTACTTTTGGTTCTTTATCTCTTCTTCTTCCTTCTTCTCCTCCTTTTGTACCTCCTAATGAATTAAATTATCTGCCTGTTTTGTAGGCAAACACCAGAATGTCATTGGGATGTGATATTGTATATCGCATGTCGTATATTTCTTACAGTATAAAATCCTATAATAGATCTGAATTTTTAACTGTTTGCTGCCGATTGTTGATGCTTCCATTCTGCAGGCAGATGACCTGTATTGTTGTTTGCGGCATATTCCTTGCGTTTAAATTTCCTACCAGTTTAAAGTCTCCTGATTTTGGATACATTTTTCATTATTGTGTTTAAGTTCAGAAACCCGGCGTGATTTTTTGTCAGATCAACCATTGAATGCTGATTGATCTTTAAAATTTTTTAGGTCTAGCATTATATGCCTGATGGACCAAAGGCTTGTAAGGGGGTCCTTTACTTTTACTTTGTTTATTTCTGTTTTATTCTGTGGCACTTACATTCTTGTTATCTGGATATTTGTGACTTCTGAAGCTCTGTCATGAGTTTAGTCCATATTTTTGTCAATTTCTTTGTGCTCTGAAGTTCCTTGGTGTACTTGGGTGTCAATTTTTTTAACAGATAGTTGTGTATGTACGTTTGTTGTATTGAATTTTAAAAGTAGAAAAATCCTCACATTGATACTGAAGCTCCCAGACCGATATTAGGTCAGTATTTTATCTTTCTTCTTCTTCTTCTTCTTCTTCTTCTTCTTCTTCTTCTTCTTCTTCTTCTTTTTCTTTTTCATTTTCTGACTCATGAACATAGAAAAATTCCCACCTTGATATGCCAGCCACATTGATACTATGGCTCCCGGACAGATATTAGGCCCATATTTCAAAATCTTTTGCTTCTTCTTTGTCTCCTTCTTCTGTTCTTTTACTTTTTCTTTTTTGAGTCTCTTTATCTTCTCTCCCTGTAAGCAGAGCTTGCACCCACAGCTAACCCATGAACATAGAAAAATCCCCTCTTGTTCTGTTTTTTGCCCTTCTGACCACCTAAAACACACATTGTACTGTTGTAAACGTTCTATGATGTTACCATTCTATCTAGTTCTTGGTTTAACCTGTGCTCTACCTCTTTCTCATCTTTTGCTGTATGCCTGGTATGGTATAATGTTGCAGGGCAATTAGTCGAAATAGGCTGATCATTTTATTCACTGTCTTTTTGTATGAGGTTTAGTATTGGTTCTGTGCCAGCTATTTCTCCTATTTCTCACTGCTTATTTATCTCTTATGCTCGCCCCAGCATCAATTCTCAGACATCTTGTTTCCATGGTTCTTGTTGTGTATGGTTTGTTATGGCACTGGAGAAGCATATAATGCAGATCAATATGCGTTATGAGTTGTTTTTTCCTGCCGATTGGGAATGTCTTATGCTGGGGGGAGGGGGGGGGGCTAGCTAAGTACTTAGTTTGCTTTAACTGCATCAGATAATGCACTGCTAGGATCAAACTCAGAACCACACTGCTAGTATGGGAGCATCCTAACCACTCATGGTACCTTGTTAATTAATTTTAGTCATTGGCTTCATGAATGAAACAGTTATATTTTAGAACTAACTATTTAAATGTCATTATTTTGAGATTTTTGTTTAGTTTATACTCACTGTAATTCTGATAGTGAATATGCAGGGTGTCCCATCAGTTTTCATTCACAGGAAAAATTAACATTTGTTATAAAAACTATTTTTATTGATATAATATGCTCCACATGGATCCAGTTGTTTTGAAAACCACATTTCAATGTATGTTCTCTCCACTGCTGGAGAATACGTAAAACACAGTAGGGTTAAGCTTGGTGATTTGTTTATCTTTTCTATGTATGGAAACTGATGGGTCACACACACTATACGTGCTTTTACACAGTGTGAATTGATTTATACAGAGGTTGATTTGTACCACGAAACAGGATTGTGCATTTTTGTTAATGCTTTTTATTACTTTTACTTCTAAAACATCGCCTTTAAGCTGTATCTAAATATAATTTTTACTCTGTAAAATTGTTTGTGAGAAGTGTTTGCTATGTCAATGTTTTATGATACTTTCTGGTGTCAAATCAGGTATTTTACTTAATGTGGTATATGATATACATGTTGCGTGTTTGTATATTTGTAATGATGTTGTGTCACTAACTCCCTTGTCCATATTTGTTAACCCCACACCATTTTACAGCTTGTCGAAATGTGATCCTGCACAGAGAGCTGATTTAATTTGGCCATTTTAAATGTCATGGCGGCTTGGAGGAAACGGTGGTGGAGGCTGCAGTTTCCAGAAAATTATGTAGAGGCAGACCTCTTCAGAAGTGGATACAAGACTTTTTTTTTTTTTTTGCAGTGGTGAAATATCACCAGCTAGTTTGGTTTGGGTTCTTTGTGTGACATTTGATTGCAAGGAACATAAGGGGTAGTCAAAGACAAGGAGGGCAAAACAGAAACTAGAATGACATTGTAGAGAAGAAATAAATGGTCAGAACAAAATTATTAGTTAGTTAGTTAGTTAGTTATTCTTCTTGTGCCAAAGATGGCGCATAGGGCAGAGGTCATAGCTTTCCACGTCTGTCGGTTCTTTGCCACTTGATGTAGGTCTTGAGTGCGACTGAGACCTATGGTTGAGCTCTTCCTTGTGATGGTTCTACGGAGAGTTTCTTTTGGTCTTCCCTGTTTTCTTTTACCCTCTGGTGACCATATGAAGGCTTGGTGGGGAAGTCTCTGTATGTCCATTCTGAGTACGTGACCGATGTAATTCCAGAGACGCTTTCTAATAAAATCAGACACATATTTTTGTTTTGTTTCCTGTCTTATAGATGTATTGGACCTAAAGTCCGACCAGTGAACATTCAATAGCTTTCGGAGGCATCTATTCTCGAAAGCGACTAGTTTCTTATCGATTGATACTGATGATTTCCAACTCTCACAACCATAAGTTAGCACTGGGATCACACAGGAATTGAAGACCTTAAGTTTCGTGTTGTTGCTGAGTGATCTTGACTTCCAAATGTTTGACAGTTTGTTAAAGGCACTTGATGC